ATTTTCACAGGCTTTGCCGCATCCTTGTCCTTGAGCGTCGCGTTGGCACTCGTGAGGCGCTGGTACTTTTCGTGGCACTGCCTCGCCGACCGGCGCTTAACCATGCTCTGCCGCGTCAAGATCTGCGCAATGAGATTCCAGTTGGCGCCGTACATCTCGTGGAGCTTCTTCATGAGCGACTCCTCGACAAAGCTCCAGCCTTCGCGCGCGAGCTCCGGCGTCGGCTTGCGCGGTCGCGGCAACGTTGACGTCACGGGGGTCGACGTCTTGGCCTTCTTGGCGGGCGGCAACGAGTTCTCAATGCCGACTTGGATGCCGCCAAGAATCGATGTGTCGTCCCACGACACCGAGTCGAGCGCATCGAGGTTCGTATCGCCCCAAAAGCCGTCGTCGTCAAAGCCACTCGAGTCGGGCAGCGGAAAGCCCGCGTAGTCGGTACTCTTCTTGGAACTTTCCTTGCGCTTGACGCTGGGGCTGCCGCCAGGTATCGGCGGCGACGCCTTCCCGAGCAACTTGTTCTTCTTGACTTTTGTCGGTTTGGCGTCCGTCTTCTTGTCAGCGGCCGCCGGTGCCGTTGGCGTCGGTGGCTTCTTGGTGCGGTACGCAACCCACAGCGGCGCGTCATCGATGGGTTCCTTGACAAACGTCATGGCCGGGTCGTACTCGGGGGCACGCCACACATCGTACGTCGGCGAAAGCCCCAGCGCCCGGAAGCGATTAACGATCGACGGCACGCTGTCGCTGTCTGCAAGAGGACGCTCGTAGTACAAGCCCGCGGTCGGCTCTTGCTTCCACGCGTCAACGCGGTGCGCGTCCACCATGTCATCGTACGACTTGGGTGCGCTGTCGTCTTTATTCGGTTCGACAACGGCCTTGGTCGGGCGATTCGGCGGTTGCTTCTCCTTGAGCGACTGCACGAGGTGCACAGCGTACCACTCCACCGGCGTGAGCTCGTCATTGTTGGAGAGCAGCAAATGCTCTTCGAGTTCGAGCTCGCCGCCGGTCGAAAGAGGTGCCTCGAGCGCATAAATATCGCCGTCGAGCGCGCTGTTGCAGTATTTTTCAATCGTTTCGGCGCGCGCCATGGTCTTGGGGAGGTCCGGCGTCGAGACCGACCACCACGGCGGGCACTCGACGCCTTTCAACGCCGACGACGCCACACACTCGGTCGGCGTCATCTCCCCAAAGAGCTTCTCCGAGAGGACGGCGCCCACGCGCAAAAACGACGCTTCAAGCGTCGACTCGTTGTAGAGCCGGAAGACAGGCACGTCGATCGTGGTCGCGAGGAGCTGCCACGCGGCGCGGAGCTTCGAGTCGCACATTGGGTCCCAGTCGCTGTCGAGCACGACGATCTAAACGTGCGCATGAGATGACGTCGCGAGGCATGCTTCGTACCGCTTGGGCGCCGTAGACGCAGACCGCGCGGTTCGTGCCCACGGTGCGCGTCCGTGTCGAGAGAATGGCCACTTGCACCGCGTCTTTCAATGCAAAGTGCGCGAGGGCGCGGTGCTGGCACGCGGCCGAGCCCGTGACCCGCACCGTCGAGAGGTTGAGCACGTTGGCCGTGAGGTGTTCGACGACCGGGAGCATCGCGTCGCTTTGGAGGTACACGGCCACCTTGCGCTTCTCCGTGCCGACCAGGCGCTCCAAGAGATCCAGAAAGGCGGCAAACTTGGACGAGCAGCTCGCGACGATCATGCGGTCCATCGAGCCGAGCCGGTCAACATCCAAGGACACGCCGTTGCCGATCGCGCGCAGCCGCAAAAACAGCCGCAGCCACCCGTCCATGGTCGCCTTGTCGGTGCTCGAGCAAAAGCTTGTAATCGCACCGGTATACGCATGCACTTGCGACGACGTGAGCGCGACACCGACCGTCTGCTCCTCGACCTTGCCGAGCTGCGCCTCCATGTCGTTGCGTATTCTGCCAAGCGTGAGAGCGCGCAGCGCAATCTGGAGGCACGACACTTCGTCCTTGTACGGGATGCCCGCGCGCTTCATCATGAGCTGCACCGAGCTCGCGTCGGCGACGTCGTCTTCCCATACCGAGGCGACATAGGGCGTTGTCGGCGTGTCGAGGAGAAACGCGCCGTAGAGACTTGCGCGCTCAGGTGCCCAGTGCTCGAGCCCGAGTTCGCTCACGACAATGCGCCGCGAGACGTTGGTCAGTGCGAGCGGCGGCGTCAGCGTCGGCGCAAAGTCTTCGACAACCACGACTTGCCACGTGTGCTTTTGAAACACGACCGCGTCCTCGAGGTAGCACGCGTGCGGGCAGAGCACCACGTAAATGTCGTAGCGCTCGTGCGGATCCAGCGACGCCGTATACTCCTTGTCCCACGTGTGATGCTGGCGCCGCCGGTCCAGTGGTGTGCCACCATAGATCTGAATGCGGCGCGAGCCGTGGAGCGCCTTGAGGTAGTGCGCCCACTTGTGCACTTCGGCGTCGGGCACAAGGATCAAGTGCGGGTGCGTACTCGGCGTCTGAAGCTCCAGGTAGCGCAAGAAGAGCGAGACGGTAAACGCCTTGCCCGTGCCGAGCTGGTCGTTCAGAATGATGTTGTAACCCGCGCTGTGCACGTGCGACATGAAACGGAGCGCGCTCAGTTGGAACGGCGCGAGCTTCACGTCCAGGTCCAGGACGAGTTCTTGCTTCTTCATGAGGTCCCGCGCCTCCTTGCCGACGGCAAAGATCGCAGCCACCAAGTCGTGGATGGTCGCCGATGCGTCCGAGGAGGTCGCCCACGCAAAGTCAACGTGGGCGTCCGAACGCGGTGAGAGCGTTGCGTCTTTCGGCGCGGCCCGCGTGTGCAGCTCGACGGACGATGGCGATCGATTGTGGTATCTCGCAGCAATGCGCTCCATGGCGCGCCAGAACGACGCGACCTGCAGTGCGACCGACCGAGCAAGCTTGCGCTTGTCCTGTTCCTGGTTGCGCTTCTCGAGGCTCTTGGCGTCCGACGCGTCGCGGGCGAGACGCCACGCGCGCGCGCGCTTCCATTGTCGCTCCTCGGCAAAGTCGGTCGCCATCCAGCGCATTTCGTCAAGGAGCACGTCCCAGTGGCACTTGGTGCGCGGCGGATCGCGAACGCGCTGCAGTTGGCGCTTCTTGCTTGGGCCTTTCTCCAGCTGCTGCGTCTTCTCCACGTGCAGACGCAACAAGTCGGCGAACGCAGTCACTGAGCTCGTCGTATCGGCAGGCGCAGGCTCCTTGGCCTTCATCGCTGGCAGGCCCAAGTACGCCGGGTTGAGCGAGACCACCGGCGACTGGTAGTGCCGGGTCGGCGCCGCCGACCGCTGGACCTTGCGCGGTGGGCTGCGCACCTGTGGCGGCGACAGCCGCGTCGGGGACTTGGACTTGGACCGCGTCCGCTTTCGCCGGACCGGCGACCGGGTGTCGTCGGTCTACGAGGTCGTGAGCCGTCCGCGTGCGCAATATCGCACAAGTCGATGTCCGGTGAGACTCGATATGTGTGCCAAATGCATGCATTCGTTGTGAGGGGCATACCTGTGAAACATGATCTGCAGCGGTCCGGAGCGCGAGGAGCTCGGCCAATAGGCGCGTTTGAAATGGGCCCCAGTGGGCGAGAAAGAGATCGCGGGGCGCGGCCTACCGAGCGCATAGAGTGTGAGAGGGCGACAGAAGTATACGACTTTGGAACGAAGTCGGCGACTGACGTACCGCGGGCGCAGGGCCGGGGCGGAGGGCGTGGCCGGCGCCGGGGGAGGGGGCGCCGGTCGAGGCCATGGGGGGGTTCGTCGGAGGGGGCGATGGCGATGCGAAGGGGCCGACACGTCGGAGGCGCGGGGCGCGTCGGTCGTCGGTCGGTCGCGGGCCGCGGAATCGAAAATACGCCAACGCTCGCGGGGCCCGTCCGCTCGTTGTATGGAAGAATGTATGGGGGCGATCTTCAAGCCCTCCCTTTTTGAAGCCACGTATCCGGATGCGCGCCAAACCGTCCCCACAAATCTAGAATTACCAACGGTGGCGTATCCGGACCATTCAAAGTCGGGCCATCCTGACGCCGCCACACGATTTACAGTCCACTTGGCCCAACCGACTGCGTACAAGTAGAAAAAGGATGCGACCTAGAGAAGTGGATAGCTCTATCTCAAGAGGCGACAACGCTGTGGCAATAGTATGCGAAGGACGCGACTGCGCTCGGTGGCTCCCGTCGCGGCTGTTGCTGGGTTGTTGAAGTCGCACGTTGGCGCCAAGACGCACTCGACGGGTGGTGGTGCATTGCCACAAGTAGCGCATTGCGACGACTCTGTAGGTAGTACGTGTGTTGCTTGCAGGTCCTGTTGTTAATAGAGGGAGATGCAACATGGGTCGTGCCAACGAGCTCGGCAGCAAGAGTTTGCGGAGGTTGTGCAGGGCTGGCAACCAAGTTCCGCGGATCATCCCCGTGGTCCGTGTTCAAAATGTCAAAAACGGTTTCGAGCATCTTAAATAAGCGCCGGTGTGTTTCGAGCATTAATTAAGCCACGCCGGCGGCTAATTCGGTGCAAAGATCTCGGGCAGGCCTATAAATACGACCCCCGAGCGACGATGCAGCACCGCGTGACGACGCGGCAGGTCGAGCGCACGATGGCGGACCGGCGCCGGATCGAGACGCAGAACACCGAGCTTCTCCGGTATGCGTCGAGCAACCAGGTGCAGGCAATGGCCAACAAGGGCGACATGGCCGTGCTCGCCAAGCGGCGCGGGAACGCGGCCTTCCAGCGCAACGCCGAGGCGATGCTTGAAGAGCGCAGCTTTGTCGCCGAGCGCGACCTCAAGCGCAACCTCCGCACAAAAGAGCAGAACGACAGCCTCGCGCGGGCCCTCGAAGAAGAGCGCCGGATGAGCGAGCGCCGCGAGCGCGAGATCCAGCGCATTTGCGAGTCGAGCGAAGAGCTCCGCGAGCTTGAGAGCATGCTCAAGGTCGCGTACGTCAATAAGGAGCGATCTGTGCAGCAGGCCGAGCGCGAAACTTTGAGCCAAATCGAAAAGTCGCGCGAGAAGGCCATCGAGACGCAAATGGAGTACGACCGGCAGCGCGCCGAGGTCGACATGGCCACCAAGGAGATCGCGCGGCGCGCCGAAGCTGTCGCGAGCAAGCAATCGATCCAAGAGCAGATGCTCGACCGCCTCAAGCTCTACGAAGAAGCCGCCAAGGAGGCC